CCCCCAATCATTTCCCTACAGCAGGAACAGAATGCCATTGAACTGATGGTTGATAGCCCGGACTTCAACAGCAACAATTCGGTTAGTAAGACCAATGAAAAGGAGGAAGACGACGACCGTCCACCAAGCTACAACGGCGTCACCAACCAGGCTTTCGAGGACACTCCAAACACCTGCCTGTAAAAGAATTTCACGGACTACCAGGAAATGGTCACTCCGGAATACTTGTGTCTGCAAGACCCCACAAGATGCTCAATGACCTCTGTTCTCTACCTTATGCCCAACTTATGTGATGTCCTTCACATGTCCTTCGTAAAGCGATTGGCTGGAATCAGAGGACTGCGAGTCGCGATAGGAAGCGGTTCATACACGTAAATGTATACACATACAGACACACACACACACACACACACACACACACACACACACACACACACGTGCATGGATTTGATGGTAAGATAAAATTAAACCTGTTTTATTGGTCCTGCATTGAAAGAATTTAAAAAATTAATTCTGTATTTTTTTGACCGAGTGAAGACTTGACGGTGACCAGAAAGGTATTCATTCCTAGGTTTATTGTACTTGATATCCCGTTTGTTTCTCGCTCAAACTCTACTCAAAGCTTTGCCTTTCAACCCACTACCCCAGCTGCCACCTTTAGATGACTCATGGCTTAAGGATGCTTAGTAAACCCAGCAGTAGAGACGTTGGAGAAAAAAAGATCACGTTCCAATTTGTTTGGCATTTTCTAAGCAAATGTAATAGCCTTATAATTATGATTCTAAAATGGTCGTGTATTCCTCCTATACGTACGTTCACATGATAATATATACATATTTTTTATTAATTCCTTTAGCAGCACAATTGTGTTGATAGTTTTGTGTATTCAGAAGTCTTTACCCGGGCTCAGTTGTTATCCTGCTGGACTATAATAAGGATGACACTGACGCAAGTCCTTTACGTTGTGTTTTGAAACGTGGTTTTTAGTTTTCGTGAGAGTTTTACGGCACTTACAACACAATAAAGTCGTACAAGTGCCGAAGATTGGAGGTGTTACAAGAGGGTGACAAACACAAAAAAGAAGGAGAGATCCGGACAATAGATGTTTGATAGGAAAGAAGGAGCAAACCACACCAGAGCATCCGCCAGCCACTCACAAACGTGGTTTGTCCGGACCACTTTGTAGGCTCCAACGCCAACTGTACAATACATGTCTATAACATATGACGCTAGAAGTTAATTAGTAAAAATGATTAAAGAATGACAAGGTTCAAATAACAGGACTGGCATAGTCACACTTTTTCAAATTTGAGAATAAAGATAAGAACTCGATGACGGACTTCATATTTCCCCCATACGAACTACGTCGTAGAATCAAGCGTTCGTCAATTTTTGGGCATCTGGAGTTATTGGTATCATCTTAAAGCTTGTTATTTTGACGAGCGCCAGATTTCACCACGATGCCTCACCATTGGTTTTGTCAGCTCCTTCAAAAGATATCCTGTACGCTTTTCATTTTATTCGGTGCTGTGGTCGTCTCACAATGTAAGATATCAGGAATGACAAAGATGAGAAAAAGAATAAAGTAAATTAAAGGGGCTTAAAGCGCAACTCAAAATATCGAAGATTGTGGCGTTGCTCGTTCTTTTCTTTTTTTAATTTTTATTTGAGTCCTGGTTTGCCTAGCGCTGCGTCAGATTTTAAGCTCAGTCTGTAGTACAGCAAAATGGCATTGTATCGAACCAGTGAGTCTGTTTTATTCGTTCATTAAGCAATAAAGAAAAACAATGTTAAAACAATAATATGATGAAATAACAACGCGCGCATTAGCCAAGTAGGAATGCGCGATTTTTTTTTTCATGACACATGTTGCCCCCAAAAGGTTACGAGAAATCACCGTTTTGAATCACACTCCTTTCCAGAAACATAGGGAAGTGTATATGCGGAAGGTTTCCTTTGAAGAAAGGACGGGGGGTCTCAGCCAGGGCCTGACAGGAACTCTTGAAAAGTTGATATGTTGTTACGACATGTACATAATTCCAATCACATTTTCTTTAATATTCCTAACATTTTTGTGTAAAAATACAAATTATGTCACAATGGTTATGTTTCCAATTCATGATTTTTACACTTTTATTCACTAAGCCTACATGAAATCCCTTGTAACAATTTGTTCTAGTGTTCGACAGAGGAGGGGGTGGAGGAGTGGAAGTTGTGGTCGTGGAACGGTGGGACTGGTATGGGACCCTGGGAGATGTAGTTTCCTTTACTATTGAAGATGTAGAATAACAACTTTTAAAAAAACAGCCCTGAGTGCTGGCCTTGAACGTCATAATGTTTATATATAAGCTTTTACGTTTACGTGAAGTGAACTGGGAACACAGAAGTTTTGCTCCAGTGAATCTGTCTACGGAGAGAGTAATCATTTACCGTGTGCACGTTCCTTAAACCCATGACGTGTGAACAGTGAGCACCATGTCCCTATTTCAGGCCACACTGCACCCCCACCCTAATGCTGTACCCTACCCACCATGGACTCAAAGCTCTCCCCCACCCCCCTCCTCACTCTTTTAGATAATCCTGTATTGACATAATGCTTCCAATCAAATGTAAATAAACGCACTTCCATAAGTCAATGAAGCGTTGTCTGCTGTGGTCTCCGTCAAACGGTCGGTGTTACTGTCCCTCTGATGTGCTGACTAGCGCTGATGCCGTGACCCTATCGTTTAATGTATTCGGATTCATGGAAGACACTGAGGGTTCGAAACCGAGTCAGATACAACTTCTCGGTCTTCTTGGAATAACATTATATTCTTCTCAGCCAGTGTGCTGGCGCGGGGGGCCAGTGCCCCACATTGTCCAGCGAGTGGTTGCAGAACGTTTCTGGAAGGTTTTTTTCCATTTTCTTTCTCTTTTTGGTATTTTTGAAGCACTCAGTAGTTTGTATCGATGTGTTTCGCTTTCCTCGAAGAAACATGCCTTGTCATATTATTTTTGTTTGAGACAGTTTTTCAGTGGCTTAGATTAGTTTCATAATTAAGCTGTAATGTTCTTTGTTCTCATACATTTCTGTCTCGTTCAATCGAGACTGTCTAAACCATCAAGACTAGTTTGAACCAAATATTTTCACTCCATCACACTGACTCTCTTTTTTTCTTCTTTTTTTTTTTTTTTTTTGCTGCGGCAATATGCATGCAGCCGAACTTGGACATCATAACAGCACTAGGGCTGGGTCGCGAGCGCGAGAACGGAACTGAATCGCCACTCTTGCCTGCGGAACGCGATTCACGATTCACTTCAGCGGAACGCGAAACAGTATCCCCAAACCCTTCCCGATTCACTCCCCTGTCGCTGTAACCACCTTGTGGCTTGTTTAACCTACTGCTGAGTCGAGTCACGAGCGCAAGAACGGAACGGAACACTTAGCACAGCTCCCCTTATTTTACAAAAGATGGTATAGTCCAACCCCCCTATTAAAACAAAATGAACGGGGTCCAACCAATAGACAGAAGGAATTTTATGGAGCCATTGTTTTAGCGAATCATGGGGTTGGGGGCGGGCGGGGGAGGGGCGCTGAATTTATGGGGGTCACTAATTGAGGTCAGCATATAGAGTAGCGCAACAAAGGGAGCGGGGCGGAGAGGATGGCGGAACAACAAGAGTGGGACTCGCGCTCGCCAAGTGGCGTTGATATGACACTGTTCCGTTGATATGACACTGTTCCGTTTCAGTCAGTGTTCCGCCACAGTTCAACGAGCGCTCGCGTACTCGCGATTCTTTGAAGCCGACTGAATCGCGAATCGCCACTCTCAAATTTGGCGAGCAGGATCCAGCCCTACTCCCTTCCTCCACGGTTCAGATTTCACACTGCAAGCGGTCTTGCTGCTCGCTGCTGCAGCAAGTGGCTTGCCAGGTTGCGAGCAAGTCATTGGACCCAAAGCAAGTAATGTGAGCCAAAGCAAATCATGGGGCACAAGAGCGTTATCGGGCTCCGAGCAAATCATGGGACACAAAGCAAGTCATGGGACTTGCTGGGCTGCGAGCGAGATTTGAGACTTGACGGCCGTCCGCTGCACGCAAGCCTTCGAATAATCAGCAGACCCCAGCTTTAGAAGGGAGAGGCTGTGCTTGTTTTGTTGCAAGACGTAGAGAATCGAAGCTATTTTTTCTTCCCGCAGTTGATCAGCTGAGGAAGTTGATGAAACGAAATGAAACGTGGTATTGTAGTCACAGAGACTTAACATTTCTAGGTTTCTGGTAGTAACAAGTATACTTAGATTACCTTAGTATGGAAAACTCCAGGGGTCGTTTTGATTGGCTTTTGTATTGTATGTATGTAGCCTATTTTGTAAATGTTTTACACTCCCAATGACATAATACAGAACATTAGGGGACGGCTATTCCTGCTTCAACCCAATGTCAGGGCCAACCTGGGCTGAGAGGGAACAACGCCCTAGCAGAAGGATGGAGGTTCTCAGTAAAAATTTCTCCCCATACGGTAATCGAACTGAGGTCTTTTGTGTGCGATGACGAAGCTCGTGCACACTAAAAAAAACGGCCTTTGCATCGTAAGAATAACCGATCTATTATTCATTTTATGTGCATTGAAGAGAGCTTTTTCTTTTTTACAACCCGACTATGGAAAAAAAAACAATCTTGCACTTTTGGTGGAAGCCTCTCAACGCAAATAATCCGAATCAGAACCTTCACAGCCACGAGAGTTCGCGACGTCATGACAAAGTACAGCAAGACTGTCCGCGAGTCACAACTCACGGGAAGTTCCCCCCGAAAGCGAGCGGGAGGCAAAGCAAAGCACAAACCTGCTCCCAAGCCTTCGATTAATCGAGCAGACTCCAGTTCTAGTGGCGACCGAAGCCTACTCTTATCGTTTTTTAACCAACAAGGGATCTTTATCGTGTGTAACGTGCACACGGGCCCTTCGATGTTTTTCGCCCTTGTCCGAGAAGGCTAGGTATAGATCTTTCCTACGGTAAGATCAGGGGTGAGACTGAAAGACAGCGGTAGGAAGGGGCCAAGAAGTAGTAGTAGAAAGGCTGCAGAAAGAGTCCGGAACCCAGAGGAGAGGGCAAAGGAGGTGAAAGGGTGGGGGCAGAAAGTGAAGACGAAAGCAGACGACAGAAAATTGTTAGAGAGCAGGAAAGGAGGTGAAAGGGGGCAATTTAGAGAAGAAAAATTTCCGTCACTATCCGGGTTTGAACCTGGGACCTGTTGAATGAGAGGCGAACACCTTAACTTCTAGGCCACGAGAAC